TGTGCTCGAGGTAAACAGCTTTGGGTGGACCATGCAATCAAACAGGTTTAACCAGGAGTGACGCCCGTAAGAAAATACGGGACAGAAAAAGAGTTAGGAGTGGTAAAACCTTCTGGCGGTGAGACTGTGGGGCTTTTGACTGCAGCATTAAAAGAAAAATAACCACTGAACCAAATTGGTGTGGGTTGTCACTGTGTGACCATTAATGACAAATGGAGGAGGACATTTTTTTGTTTTCTTGTTTTTTGGTACAACCTCATAAACACTTCATCATTACTCTGGTCGTCTTGTGACTCTGTAGTTTTTAAGTTGTGTGTGTTTGCAAAAACCTCCCAGCAGTTTCCACTAGAAATTCTCAGAACTATGTCACCAGACTTATGTTTTTTTTTATTTTACTTTCTTTTTTTTAATTTCAACACATAAGCAGTAACTTTTAATGTTTCCTAATCTTGTTTCTCATCTTTGGATGGTTCCAGTTAGCAGTCAGTTAAAATAAAGCCATCTTCTTCTACCGTCAGATATGTTTTTAAATTAAAAAAGGACTTTATTTCTGAGATTATCGGTAACAGGTTTCGACAAAAGTCCTACATACTGAAATGAAACTTGACACGATGAGAGGCAGTGTGTATATTCAGAGCAGGGGGAAGCGCTCGATCTGGGAGGAAGTGGCTAAACTCTTAGGCCTCTGCTCACCAAGAAGAGAAGATTGTGGGGTGACTTGTTATGTATTTTTTTTTTCTGTACTAAGCTCACTCACTAAAATTACTCCTGCTCAAATTTTTGTGGCTCTTCAAACCCTTTGCTGTCAGTCAACAGATATATTTAAGATTGTTTGTGATCCACACTAGTTCTCCCTGTACACATGTGGTATGACATAGTTATAACCCTGTTCGCCAAGGTGAGGCTTCATGTAGGATTCCATGAAAAAAATTGGAGCTTTGCGTCAAAGCTGTCAAGCAGTTGCTTTCACAAGGTCCTGTGAGTGTGAGGCATTACTCGTATTCTTATTATAGCCTCTTATCTACAGGACATTTAACAAATGGAGTGGAGGGAGTCAAGCAGAATTACGCCAATGCTCCACTTCCTCCTGTTGAGGCTTCTCTTGACCATATTGAGCACCGAGTAATTCAATCGTCATCATTGCACATGTTGAATGTGTAACAAAAAGTACAGAAGTAAAAACTATGGCAGTGTGCTGAGTAAATTAAAAAAAAGAAACTTTACCAAGTAGATTTAATTGTGAATCTGATTAAAGCTTTTTAAAGGCACATTAACAGGAATATCCCAGCGTGCGTGTAAAAAGCAGTTGGAGGTGTATTCCACTTTTGCAATACGTCTTCCTTCTGGTAAACTTTTCTTTGACATTTCAGCTATGTAAAAGCTGTAAGCAGAGTGTCTGACATGCCACCTTGGTGACTGAATGAGTTTTCGGGAAAAAAGTCTCCTTCTGTGTCACTTAAAATAATGTGACGCACGGAAATGTGTGCTTTCTGCTATGCTGAGTTATATGTAGGAACATCAAAGGCATATAGATCGTTTTTGGTTTATTTTAAGACACGACTCGTGTATTGTTTAAATAGTTTGACTCGTGTCTGCATTCCAGGCACGTGAAAAAGCCTAAACCGTCCCAGACACACTGAAAACAGGTTGGCTGTACGCAAGTTGCCTAGTTGCTTGCAAAGTGTTTGTGCACAATAACGAGCCGCTGTGCTTCAGGAAGTTTTTTTGCTGATCATGCTTTCTTTCTGAGTATAACTAGCCCTGCATCAGAAAAGCTGAACCCAAACCACCTGGTTTGGTGTCTGAAGCACAGTACTGAAGCACAGTATTGTTGTGTAATATAGCTCAGTTTAATTTACTCTGATGATTGTATAACAGAAGTAAAAAAAAGAGGTCTGTTCACATACCACCTCAGTTACAAGAATTCACAGGTTTGACCACAGCCTGGAAAGGAAATAAGTTTGTTTTCAGTAATTTCCTGTCACTACCAATGATGTGCAACCTACTATTTATTTAAGCAGAGAGTATATTTATGTGTGAATCAAAGAAAGTGGATTTTGTTCATCTGCATGTAGCGTTTCACTGGGAGAAAAGCTTCATCAGTTTGATTACTTCTTCATTTCCTTACCTGGATGATTGATCGCAGAACCAAAGACATTTATATATGAACTTAAGCTTAAAGCATTGCCTGTGATGACAGTCATAGAGTGTATTTGAGCTTAACCAGCTGTTAATGTATTCCAGGGCTGTCTTTCTATACACAACTGGGACAGCTGAGCTTACATATTTTTGTCGTTTTGCTTCCTACTGGTTAAATGTGGTGGTGATCTTTGCTGAGCTGGAATGCTGCTTTGATAATGACCTATACCACATAAACTTTAAAACCTCTAATGTCATTGAGTGTTCTGTATCCTGCTGTATTTACACAGGGATAAAATATGGTGAAACCTTGGCAAACATGGGAAGACTTTTTGTTTACTGAACTGAAAAGATAACAAAGAGAAGATTTAGGGTTGTTTTTTTGCCTTTTTAAAGCCTAAAGTTTAAGGAAGATGCAAGCATTGTCACACGCTGGATGCTTGTGTGGTCGTTGTCAACAGATTTTAGTGCCCAAAAAGCATACTACCTCTGAGGGATTTTACATGAACTTTTAAACTAAATGGTTTTTATTTTAAGACTGCAGTAATTTTTCATTTTAAAACAAAGCAGGACAGAAAATGAAATAAACACTTTTTTTGCTCTGTGTGTCTGTGATTTCTCTCTCTGTTTCCAGGGGATGACTTTTCCATCATACAGCAGGAAATCTTCATGGTGAAGGAATGCAAGCACCACAATATTGTGGCCTACTTTGGGAGCTACCTCTGGTAAGAGCCAGCACAAAATGCTCCTGCGTAGTCATTTTACCCTCACAGTTTGTTTTCTTTTTTTCCTCGCTCTCACAGCCAGTCGAGTGTATAACATTTGTGGAATTCATATGTAACTGTCAAAAGGATTTAACAAGCCACTGCCTGAAACTCACATGATGTATTTAATTACTTAGTAAACCTGTGTGTGTGAAAGTATGACTCAGACTCTTCAACTGGGCAGACGGGTGCTGACTAGGCCCTTCGGTGCCAGGATGCTATTCTTCTGTTTTAATGGAGTCCATGATTTGTGGCCGGTATTTCAGAGGAAGTTGGCCCAGGTCCGCCCACATCTTCCTTAGACTTCCAGCAGGTTTAAATGGAATAAAAGCCTCTGAACTATTTTATTTGGCTGTTCGTGCAGAGAGCTGTATGTCTTATCTCAGCAGGCATGTCTTATGCGGCCTTGCCACACAGAGCTCAACTGGATACAGTAAAACGTTAATGAGCAATGAACTGTGCATTAATTATTATAAAACTACCTTAATTTAATCAAAGGAACCCCTGTTTGTTTGGGGAAATTTTAAGTTTCCTGTTGACCCCTTTTTAGTTACCTGAAATGGTTTCCATGACCACCTAAATGTTGAGTGAAACGAGGTGGCAGTGAGCAACCCCTCTACTGGTTCACATGTCGTTTTTATTAGGACTGCAACCATTCTCTAAATTATAAGGCCTTGTTACTGTTTTCAGTCTGTTTTTATGTTTTTTAGGGTGCAGCGTGTGAACAACAAAGCTGAGAGAAAACTTCTCACCACAGCAGCGATCGCTTGTTGTATTTTCAGCACACGCTTTACCTGAAGGCTTGTTAGACATTCAGCTTTCATGTGAAACAGGAAGAAACTTTCTATGGAGGATTCATTTCCAGTTTCAGAACTCTCACACCTCTTATTCTTAGTTGTTTTTTATCAGAGAGCAATTTTATTTTAATTTTTCTAAAACAAGCTTCGCAGCTTGTCAAAATGTTTGTTTGCTCTGGTGAATTTTGTGACTGCATAAGTGGTTAAAATGTTCTTAATTCTGCTTCTTCTTTTTTTTCTAGTCGAGAGAAACTTTGGATATGCATGGAGTACTGCGGGGGAGGATCTCTGCAGGACATCTATCATGGTGAGCTTTAGTTTTATTCATACATGGCAAGGTGCAGACATGAACTACGTTTTATTGCTATGCACCTTGTGCCATCTCTGTCTTCAGCCCTACTAACATTGAATGAATGTGTGTAATAGTGACTGGACCTCTGTCAGAGCTTCAAATAGCATACGTCTGCAGAGAGACCTTACAGGTAATTTTACTTGGAATATTTTGAGGAAACGTTACAGAGTTTGTGGTTTCAGATGTGGTCATTACGTAATGCTGTGCCTTCCTTTACAGGGTTTGGGATATCTCCACAGTAAGGGGAAGATGCACCGCGATATCAAGGTACAATTGCTTTTTATTTCATTTTCTTTGAATGTGAATTTTTTCTCCTTATCGTGGCTGTTCTAATAGATCACATAGAAACACCGACCGTCTGATGATACTTTAAGCAGTAAATTTCAGAACATCTCAAGAAAAAGCAGCAGCACAAGTAGCAGTTTCAGTACTATTAATGTCAGCATGAATGCATTGGTGGCCCTCAAAATGGGGCAGAGGTCGGACATGGCAGCAGAGGTGTAAAACCAAAGTCACAGGAAAAGCATAACTGGGTGTGCTCGCTCGGAAGCATGTGACTGATGCTACGTTTTGCACTTTTGAGCTGAAGTTAACTTTGCTCGATGGATGCACTAAAGGCTGGAACTTCGCTCTCATGTGTTATCATAAAGGTCAGGGCTGGATCTATTATCTTTTTCAGCTCTATGCAGCAAGCACTTCCTGTTTCCTCTACTCTCACCGCAGGATGCCACCAGAGACACCGTCAGTCACAGCCAGCAGAAACAATATTAGTGAAACTATTAAAGGCTGTGATACTACTCCAAGTTTACGAGAAGCCAGGATAGTAACATGCCGGGTGTTGCTGAGAAATCTTTACACATATAAAGCTGTTATTGTGGTTATTTCTGGCCCTGTATTTATCTTTTTAGACTCTGCTAGAGCGGCTTTACGTCATTAACATTATAAGATGATCCTTATCTGCTTTGATATAGCTCTTCAGTTCAATCTCTGAAACACTCTTTAAGCCAACTGTTTCTGATTGGCTCCCCCTCGCAAACAGAAGGTTTGAGGAGCAGGTGGGCGGAGCTCCTGTGCTCACAGCAGTACAGTGTGTGCCTGAAGTGATCATATTGAGATCCATAATAGATACAACTTGAATCTAATGTACATTTTTGAAATGTTGTTTTACATGAGAATCAAGCTTCATTCTAATGTTAATAAATTATTGTTGTATGTTTTTTAAATGGATTTTCTCAGCATAAATCAAATGTTTACTCTTTACAGGGTGCCAACATACTGCTGACAGACAACGGAGACGTGAAGTTGGGTAAGTTCCTCTTCAGCATCTTAATTCTTAAGAACCTGAACTCCTCAACAGCCTTTAGCTGTATGTGCATTACATAATCTGAAAAGCCCTGTTATCCTTCTTACAGCTGACTTTGGAGTTGCAGCCAAAATAACAGCCACCATTGCCAAAAGAAAGTCCTTTATCGGAACACCTTATTGGTGAGTGTGTCATCTGTGTAAAACAGGCCTCTAGGCCCTTGACAGCTTTTGTTAGTCTGGTTAAAGAGCGCTGGTGAAAGCCTTTTCAGCTCCATCCTAGATTATTTTTCACCATTTTCTAGATGAAAGTTCAATGTCACACGCTATAGATGTGTAGACCCTGGTACATTCAGGCCTCTGCTCTTTCACTAAAGCTGACTTCTGCTTTTTATTCTAACAAATGAGCCATTGCTAAATCTCTGTCCTCACTTTCTTTAGGATGGCTCCTGAAGTAGCTGCAGTGGAGAAGAACGGGGGCTACAACCAGCTGTGTGACGTCTGGGCTGTTGGCATCACAGCCATAGAGTTGGCTGAGCTCCAGCCTCCGATGTTTGACTTGCATCCAATGAGGTATGTTTTACTTCCTCTCCATAAATGATCAGTTAGAGCTCCCTTACATAATATATTAATACATTTTCCTCCTTGGCGTCATTAAATCCTCGTTCCTTTATCTGCTGTAGGGCCTTGTTTTTGATGTCGAAGAGTAGCTTCCAGCCTCCGAAGCTAAAAGATAAGAGCAAATGGTGAGTGTTCCAAAGTAATCACAATGCTATTGTTGGATTGCGATATAATTTATACCTTTATACCTTGCTCTTAGATAATATGAATAATCGTTGTTTTAAACAAACTTATCTTATCCAACAGGTCTCCTGCCTTCCATAACTTTGTGAAAGTGTGTTTAACAAAGAACCCAAAGAAGCGGCCCACTGCAGAAAAAATTCTAGGGGTAATAAATATTACTCTGGTTTTCCATGTGTGGTTGAAATGTTCAAAATAAAAAAATATAGTGCAGTATGATGTTTAAAAAAATGTGAATGTTTTTGGAGAGTCTGTTGTTTTTTGCAGTTTCTTCTTCGTCTTCTTTTTTTCTTTTGCTTGTTGGCCTATGTTCCTTTGCAAATCTAAAACACCTGACAAACAAGTAGAAGTTGTCATTCTGTCCAAATTCAGCAGAGCCTTATGAACCCCAGCTGGCCTCCTCAGCTTCTGTGTGGTTTGGCTGATTTTCTCAGTGTTTGGCTTGCCGTCAGACTCTGGCCTTGAACTGTTTTCAGTGTTTCGTATTTATTAAAGCTTATCTTAGTTTGAGCTCTTTAGGATGGGAGCCAGAGTTCAGTTAGCACCTGTTTCTAATTTGTAGGTATACAAGCACAGTGTATTCTCGTCTCATTAGTACAGTGTGTATCTCTGAGGATAGTTGCATCCCAGAAGTCCTGGAATGTGATGATTTATCCTTATAGCTAGGAGTTAGTGATCTGTAACAAGCTTTTGGGGTAGAACACTACCTACAATCTGCAATCTGAAAAGAAAGTACACCCTCTTTAAATACAAAGTTTTATGCATCAGGACATAATAAAAGTAATGGGGTTCTTTGCATGTCTTAAAATTAGGTAAATACAACCTCAGATGATGTCATTATTTAACAACTCGGGTAGTATTTACCTAAATTTAAGACCTGATAAGGTCATGATTTGTAAAAAATCTTTGAACTGACAGAGAGTGTGCTTTCCTTTTCATCCACCCCCACATGAATCTAAATTCTTTGCTTCTATACCTTTATGACTCTTATGTGTCAAATTAGTGTCAGGTGTCTAACACAAACAGCTGTTTTCCTGTTATGATCCTGGTAAAGATCTCTAACTCTTTAGTGTTTCTCCCAGCATGTGTTTATGGCTCAGACGGGTTTGACGAGGAGACTTGCCATGGAGCTTATTGATAAGATGAACAACCCGGACAACCACCAGAATTTTGGAGAAATGGATGAGGATGACCTTGAGGTAATAACTGACTCCAAATCATATATAGAAATCTGTGTTGTTAGGAGATTGTCTAAGAAAATCAAAGCCAACCCAGTCAACAAGCTAGTAATCAGAAATATAAACACACTCAACTTTTATTTATACCCTGAAAATATTAAACCTGTAATGCAGTTCTTGGTACATGTTTGTTTGAACATGTTTGAACTTGTTGCAAATAACTGATTTAAAGAAGTACGTTAAACTATCACTTGCTGTTTGAGCTACACGACAGATTCTTATCAGTGAATGTAAATATTAGAATGTGTGACATTTTCAGCAGTGAACTATAACCAGCGAGCTTCTTTCAGGTCTTTCATGTTCCCCTAAAACTTCCCTTCCCCCTGTTCCTGATTCTCTCCAATGACATTATTATTCCGACTGGATTCAACATCACATCTATGTGGCAGCCAAAGAGGTGGTACCAGCGCTTTTTAAAGGACCATTGTGCTTTTCTCCCACTGACAGCAGTAGCACTGTGTGAAAAAACTCTAAAGGCTATTGACTGCAAGCAATAGAGCTTGTTGCAAACAAACAGCCACTGGGATGCATAATAATGTGACCGTGCTCCAGAAAAGCTGGTCTCAGCTCAGCTTTAGCTAACCTTAACTCAAATTTTACAGATAATCTAAAAAGATAATGCGATAACTAATAATTACACACTGAATATTATATAAGCTCCTAACATTTTACTGTCTTCTGAAGTGCTGCTCCCTCAATAAAAATTCTGTCTTTCACCATCAGTTTCAGGGAAACAGCGAAGTCAGACACACCATCCGCTCCACCAATAAGCACGCCAGAGCTGAGAGGACGCGCTCAGAGATCGACTGTAAGTGAACATCAAAGCTAAATGGATCACCAAGGCCAGCCCCTCTCCGCAATCGCTCGCTGTGCTTCTGTCCTGTCGTTGGTTTGCGTGTTAGCTGTTGTGAGTGGTTAGGTCGATCTAGGTCTGGTGGCATCACCAAGGGTCATTCCTTTAATCCTGCAGCAGAGGCTGGCACCTTTCCCGGCCACAGCATGTTTTGGCGTGTCTAAAAAAAAAAAAGTCTGTGGATTCATGGAAGAGAAAGTAAAGTCGCTTGTGCTATTTTTACATGTTAAGTGTTGTCTCATCTGTTGCTCAAGGAATCCTGCAAAATAGCTTGTCTGAAGGGTCTCTGAGTTTTCCTAAAAATCTCAAGTTTTTAGCCAGAAATTGTTTTCAAGAATTTGGCGATGGGTCCAGTTGTTACAGTTCTACATCTTGCCCCCTGCCCCTTCAGGGAAGCTGTGTTTTTTTTGTGTCGCCGTTAGTTGTGATAGATAAAGCCGAATGCAGTGTTGTGCCTGTTGTGTCAGTAGTTTGTGGCCATTTCTTCATTTCACCATTTTAGAATGACCTAACAGCTGCCTGGCGTTGAGATAGGTGTGGTATTTATACCATGCTGCATTGTGTTTTGTGCTCGTCTGTGCTGTGATCGCTTGTATCAGATGTACTTCTTGTCTGGTTTCTTTTATCTAAATTTCTCACTGTTATATGACCTTCCCTCCACCATGAAGCAAACAATGGAACAGACCAAAGAGAGCCACCCTCAAGTCCTAGCTTCACTGAGGGACACAGGGTGGATGCAGGTCAGTGTGAGAGTAGTGAGACAGTGTGTGTTTGTCTAATTCCAACCCTCACCCCTAAGATTTCATTAGAAATATGATAATGTTGTAGAAATGGAACACTCGGTTTGACATTTAAATGGTACTAATAAGGCGATTTTGTCTGCATGGAGTTGCTACCTAATGTAACTTCAGCTTTTTTGTAAGGCTGAATAATTTGGATATTGTGACATCTTGGTTCCTGTTAGGCCGACTGACTTGAAATTGCATTTAAATGACTAATCTTACCCTGACAAGAAAGCAAAGCTTGCCTCGTAAGACTCACCTGATCACTCGGCTTCAATTCTTTAAACTTTTTCATTGTTTTTCTTACTTCCCAACCTCCACACTATCTGCATATGTTGAGATGAAAAACATGGGAAAGGGGAGGTGGGGAGGGATCTGTGGTCTGAATTCTTTAATACAACGCGTCTTTGTTAATGCGAAGGTGATTATGTGGGCTGATTTCTTTCACCTTCATAATTACAGCCGAATCATGTTGTATTTATACTGGACAGCAAACCAGACAACCTTATTGGATCAACTGTTTGACAGAACGCAACCTGAAGTCTAAACAGCTGAAGAATCTGTCCCGTGATGTATCTGTAATTCATGTTCCCTCTCACTAATATTTCCCCAAAGGGAACAGGTCTGGTTAGCGTCAAGTTTAACTGTCTTTAGTGAGCAACTCGTCTCGAAGCTACAGACCAAACATTCAAGTCGTAACATCGTAAATCAGTGAGGGATCTCTGTAATGTTTTGGCAGGTTCACTGTTGTGGAAGCAGATGATCTGCTTTGGGTTTGTTCTTACACCTGTTTTTAGGTTAGGAAGGAATTTTTCCCCAGGTTTTCTGGTACTAATGCCCAATGTTGATAACTCCGGTGCTTTGTGTGTGTTGAAGTGTTGGATGCTGATGCCCTCTAGTGTCAAAGATGTGTGCAAAGAAAGGGAGAAAAGAAAAGAAACACCATCTCTGTTTTTTACAGTTGACAAGCTCCAGTTTAAAGCACCAGTACAGAAGGAAACTGCGGCTCATTATGAAACGGTGATTATCATGTTCTGTTTAAATCATTTTCTGTTTAACACTAATTTTAGTTTCAGTTTGTAGTGTGTGTGTGCGTGTGTGTGTGTGTGTGTGTGTGTGTGAGGAGTAAAAAGATATCAGGTGATTAACAAAACTGCAGCTATGTAAATATCTATTTCTGTGAATGTATGCTTTTCCACAGGATGTCAAAGATAATGACTTCTCCCCCTGGAGTCCTTTTGCAGATGGAGGAATAACAACCAGGTGATCCATGGAAACTGTTGTCATGGGAACTGCTCCCATTTACCCCCAGTTGTTCTCGTTCAGTCTCTACCTGGTTTGTCTTAGATAAATGCGCCTCATGAGGCTTAACCAGACAAAGGAATTTAAGGCAAATTAAAGATTTGTTGTTGTTTGGATTTCACATCGTCTGAGTTTGTTTTGTTTTTACTTTGAGACAGTCAAAGCATGTTAGTCCTAAAGAAACTACTCATTCTTGATTCTCTGTGTATATAGATTTTCTTCACTGTGTCTCATATTAACATGCTTGCTCACTGGACCTAACCTATGCCTGTACATGAGCTCACTCCCCTTGCCCCCCTTTTGCACTTTGAAATGTCACTTTGGTCTTTAAGCTCCCTCTCACATGTCCATGTGCTTTGACTGTTTGTTTGTTTTTTGGGTTTTTTTTCCTCCTTCTCCTTCTCTCTGTCCTCTTTTTGGCTGTCGGTGTCGCTCTCGTCTTGTCGAAGGAGCCTTCTCAAAAGCGTTGAGGATGAATTGTTCCAACGGTAACACTAACACTGCATGTGCTGTAATAAGCTACGCCATCCAATCCACTCCCTCCTTGCTGCGCCACAACCATTTTTTCAGCGTGGTCCGCCCCCCCTCCCTTTCTGCCTCCTCTTCATTCACCATGTGTGGTGTGACGATTACTGTAGATTTAAGCTGTTTGTACTGCTGTGATGTGAAGAGAAAAAGTGCTGAAGTGTCAGCCTAACCATTTTTGGCTCAACTGCATTGAAGCTGTTTTGAAACCTACTTTTAACTGGTAGTTTATAATAGTGGTCATAGTCATAATAATAGCATTGTCCCCAGTAGGTTTGGGTCACCTCAAATGTGCTCTAAAGTCTGTAGTAACACAGAATCTTCCCCTCATTGTTCTTATTCAAAGATAGGACTTCATATAAACATTTGCATTCCTCCTAAACCCAAATGAGTCTTACTTTCCGCGTTACTCATTACTGTGTGTGTCCTATAGGGGACACGTCGCCCATCTTGAAGATGCCTTTGATGATACGGAGCGGTGAGTTATGCCATCAGATTTAAATTTTATCATGAATGCATGACCTTTTGTTCTGCTGGTTTACACCTTACTGCTAAAAATGGTTCAATTTCAGATCAACCATCAAGCCAGGCGTTCCTCCTCCTCTGCCTCCAAAGGTAACACCTAAATTTAAAGATGTCTACTTTTGTTGTAGTTTTTTTTAGGTTTAAGTAAAGATTAAATGTGTTGTAGTGTTATGTTTCTTCTCAGCCAACTTCAAGCGCCTCATCAGAGGAAATGGGCCTTAACGATGAGAGGTCTGTGACAGTAAAGAGGTTCCCTAACTCGGAGAATGGACCGAGCCAAGTGGCTCGCAGACAGAGCACGCCTGAGCAGGGCAACAAGGTGGAGAACTCATCTCCAGACCTCCTGTCAGCCAGCGTCAGTAGCCCCGGCCTTTTGTCGCACTCATCGGATCCTGGTGAGTCTCAGCATATCTGTGTCTATTTCTAAATCCAGATTTATTCACAGTATGAGTCTGCATACCTTGTCCTCTTCATTTTTCTTCATAAGCGCTGAAATGTTTTATTTTTTTTGCAAGCTCCAAGTAAATCTGAACTTAAAGGTAAGGGAGCCTGATGTAAACATGGTTGATCTTTGGATTCACACCCTCCTTGTTTGACAGCGTGAACTGATATTAATACTGTGTAAGTGTAATTTTACCTGCCTGGTTTTTCATTACAGATAATGATTCAGATGGCAGTGTGAATGGAGGGAGTCCCAAGCCACCATCCAGTGAGCAAAATCGGAAGGAGAAAAAGGAATTCCCTGTGAGTTTATAATTTCTGATTGTAACACATAATAGCTATATTTCGTCTCATTGGATTAAGGATAAAATGTCATGTGATACTACAACATACAGCATACATTTGATACGTGCAGTGCCTCCAGCTAGCTGACTGAACTCAAACGAAACCTCAAATATGATGTTTTTCCTTTGTTATATCCAAATGTGGCTGGTTAATGGGGGAAACTTGGCATCCATTCATGTTTCATATTTAATTGACTTTGACAGGACACTCACACAAGCATTTTGTTCTTTTGCTTATTGTTCAGGCTGGTTTTAAAATTATGGAGCTAAATTTAGGATAATTGTTCTGTCTTTTGCATCTATAGTATCTTATGGTTTTCATATCCTCCCCTCCTCCTTAGAAACCAGCTATCAACGGCCTGCCACCCACTCCTAAAGTACTGGTGAGTGAATCATTTGTATTGTCCTTCACGGTTCCTGCCGACCCTCTTTCACTGAGACTGTTATTAAACTCTCGTCTGAGCTTCTACTGTACATTCTGTAGATATTTGGGGTCCACAGAGCTTTCTGCTTTGTGGTTCAGCTCAGCTCATTAAACTCTGGCTGACATTTAAGAGGCTGCCTTCTTTGAGCTGTGCTGCTTTTCATTGCAGATGGGAGCCTGCTTCTCTAAAGTGTTTGATGGCTGTCCATTGAAGATCAACTGTGCCACGTCATGGATTCATCCAGACACCAAAGGTACAGAAAGAGCAGTGAGCATACCACACACAGAGGGTTTCGGATATTTTACAAACACAATGTTTTTTTTTAATCCCTCTTCTAGATCAGTACCTAATCTTTGGGACAGAAGATGGCATTTATACTCTGAATCTTAATGAGTTGCATGAAGCTACAATGGAGCAGGTAACAGCAGCTGAAACTTGCTTGAAAATGAAATTGTAATTTTTTGTGACGCTCCACCCTGATTCTATTGCTTGGAAGTCTTTATGGGGCACACACAAATAAAACTGTTTTATTGATTTCAGGCAGGAGTACACAAAAGCTGCTTTATATTATATTTATCGTGGGTGTTCTACTGCAGCATAACTAAGGGATAATTCAGGATCCACCCATAGCTGAAAGCGTTATCAAAAATTAAAGTTTTCAATCTAATCTCGATAGTCTCCTGAATCCAAACTGGTTCCACAGGAGAGAGGCTCTGAAACCATTCTACTTTTAGAAATTCTAGGAAACACAAGGAAGCCTGCAGTCTGTGAGCAAAGTGCTCTGTTGAGATAATATGATAGTATGAGGTCTTCGAGTTACAATGGGGTCAGATTACTTCAAGACTTTATATGTGAGGAAAAAGATTTTCAATCCAACAGGGCGCTAAAGACGAGAAGCTAATATATATTTTTATAGTCCCTTTTGGTACTCTTGTTGCAGCATTTTAGATTAACTAGGGTCTTTTTATGGAACTGTAAAAGCAACCTGATCAGCCTAGAAGCAATGAATGCATGAATTAGTCCTATATAGTTGTTTAATGTGCACATTGAAGGATATATCATGGTCGAAAATCACTGAATTCAGATCAAACCTCACTTTCATTTGAATTCAGAATTTGGAAGATGGATAGTAGCTCATCCAAGCCTTTATATGCCTGTAGTTTAACTAATTAATTTTAATCTGACTTCATAGCTGACTATATAAAACACAGACGCACAGAGAGGAGTCTACTATCAGAGGCCATGAGATCATTTGTAACCTTTGCTAGTGCGTTTAGTGGAGTGCACTCTGATGTACTCTGCATTCTGGCTGAAACTCTTCAAATAAACCATTCCTCTGCAAATGATCAGTTAATTGTTTGACAAATACTACTAAGAGTTTTAGAAATAAGAAGTTTGGAGATTGGTTTATAATAGACCCCCAGTTTAAGTAAAGGCTTTTTAAGTTGTGGTTTAACTACAGCTACCTACAAAGCCTGTGGTACATATTTTGTTAGAGATAAATTGATCATAGTTGAAAATTAAAATAAATTTTGACACAATCATGGCAGAGAGGAAGAAACGAGCTTTCAACATCTCAGTCAGTTTGGGCTTTGTGCAAAGAACACCAGCTATTACACAATTCTAATAAGCAATGTGAGTTGATCTTAGTTGTTTAAATAATCAGAAGTGTGTGCATGCATTGTGGTGTTTTTTATTTTATTTTCTTTAAGAATGTTTGACCTTTAAAGTTTTCATTTCTCTTTTTACTTCAGTGTCAAGTTGAGACATAATGAGCTGTTGTACTGAAACCCTGTGTATACAGAAAGCAGTCAGACATCTGCTAAAGAGTCAGACTGATAAACAGAACCGATCTCGTCACTTTTCATCTTTAATCATAATCCTAAAGTTGGTGGAGCAAAACAACCGAAACACGATAAAGAGTTTGGTACATCATAATGAATTATTTGTCTTTTGAGGTGTGGAGAAAACTTGCTGAGCTCTGATTGGACAGCTTGACTGTTGACTCTGTTCTTTTACAAGCCAATGTTCAGTTATTGAATTATTGTGTTTGAATCTCTGTTTAGCTCTTCCCAAGGAAATGCACGTGGCTCTACGTTATCAACAACAACCTGATGTCTTTATCAGGTAGGTGATGGATTTATAACAACCTCCTGCTTTAACAGCCACTGTCATAACCTGCTGCTTCTTTGTCCTGTGTTATCTGGCTGCCCCCCTGAGGCAACACATCCGCTATATCTGTGCCCAAAAATAACTGTGTACTTTGTTTAGCCCCAGAAAGCCTCTCTAATAGCTTTATACTTGTAGCAGTGACCCAAGAGGGGCACATCTGGCTTTACGGCCTGTCCCTTTACTGAAGAAACGCAGTTATATTGCTCTTTGTAAGTGTAGCCAAGGGTAGTGTCTTCCATATAGAAATCAGATGTGCTAGCTATCATTTGAAACCAAACTGTCTTCAATTGGATGTCCCAACGACTTCTCCTTTTCTCATCTTAAGAGTTGAAGATGGGATTATAAAGCGTCAGGTCTGCTTTCGGTTTTACCTTCAGCAGTTTGCACCTCGGTTTACTTAACCTCTGTTCTCTTCTCCTCTTCCCTTGGACACTGTCCACCCTCCTCTCCCCTGGCTTGATTTGATATTCTATTAACTGGCTTCATCAGAAGGTAATCATGGCTCACATCATCATCATCATCACACTTCTGTTTTTACCCCTGTCCACATCTAACCTTTCTACATGTGAAAGCTGCTTCAGGAGATCCAAGATTGTCAAAAATATTTAGAAATTATTGCCCGTAATGAAACTGATGATGGGATACGCTGTGTCCCACGCTGTGCAGGTAAAACCTTCCAGCTGTACTCCCACAATCTCATCGGGCTGTTCGAGCAGATGAAGAAGCCTGGCCTGGCCGCTCAGTTCCAGACTCATCGCTTCCCTTTGCCCAAGTAAGCTCGAAAGGCCTGGTTTGGTATCTGAAACTCATAAATAAGATTATCTAACCGCATTTTCAGCAGGCGCCTGACACACTGTGATAAGATCACACCACTGGTTTTCTCATTTAAAGTGTTGCTGCTACGCCCATGCTGTGCAGTCTTTTTGTTGTTCTTTTACCTTTGTGACAAACTGCTGCAGCGGTACAGAGAAAAAGGGAACCACAGGCCAACTTCCCTGATTCTAGACGTCATCAGCTCTTTTAAGACTGTGGTCACGACAACTTGACTCTTTCTCTCCTCAGGAGATTTGCCTTGACAACTAAGATCCCTGACACAAAGGGCTGTCACAAGTGCTGTATTGGTGAGTGGCTTTTCCCCTTTAAACCCTGCATATTAAACCGTGTCTGTATAAAAGTTGCATCATGGCCTCCTTTTTTTGCCAAAACATTTTAGTTTTGTATGCTCTTCTGACTTTTTGTTCTGATCCACAGTGAGAAACCCGTATACTGGCCACAAGTACCTGTGTGGAGCGCTTCAGTCTGGGATTGTCCTTTTGCAGTGGTATGAGCCCATGCAGAGATTTATGCTCATCAAGGTCAGTTGGTTATTTTTCTCGCAGCAGAAACATGAACATCTCTAATTAAGCCTCTGCTTTTCCAGTAAGGTTGTGCTTCATAACTTGCATGCATGTAGTTTGATTTTATTCCTTTGCTCCACAGCTCATTGTGAAAGTGTCTCCATAAGCATAATTATATAAAACTGATGCTCTTGTACTTTAAACAGCGGAACACCGGTGATCATAGATAACATGTTGCTTCTCTCTTCCTGGCGCAGCACTTTGACTTCCCTCTTCCCAGCCCGCTAAAGGTGTTTGAGATGCTGGTGGTTCCAGAGCAGGAGTATCCTCTGGTGTGTGTTGCCATCAGCCAGGCCACAGAGCCGAGTCAGGTGGTCTGCTTTGAGACTATCAACCTCAACTCCTGCTCATCGTGGTTCACAGAGATTGGACCAGGTAAGTCTAACATGCCTTGTTTTAACAATTGTGGAAGAATTCAAGATGCTTGGATAAAAAAATTGAAGAAAAACAAAAGTGTGTGTAGCATTAGTGAACTGATGGCATATCCAGTAGTGTTGCAAAATAAACTAAGTAATAGAAGAAAGAGTTGGAGAGCAGGACGGTTACTGAGCACTTTTCTCCCCACAGGTAATCAGCAGGTGGATGCAATCCATGTCACCCAGCTGGAGAGAGACACAGTGTTGGTGTGTTTGGACCGTAAGTGTCTGTACACTGTACACAAACTGTATCAACCAGCATTACTACTAGTAGCGGCATCCTTGCGGCACTTTTTCACATTCGTGATCTGATTTCATTCAGATTGGCCCACTCGCTGAGGAGAATACACACATACATACAGCACAACAATAATTATATTTCTCTCCCCAGAAAATGTGAAGATCGTTAATCTCCTGGGCAGACTGAAATCCAACAAGAAGCTGGCTTCTGAGCTCAGCTTTGACTTCTGCATCGAAGCTGTTGGTAAGATTTCTGAAAGGCATCAGTGTTTAAAAGAAGTTTTTGGTTCTGGAAAATGTTTCTTGTTAGTAAAAGATTAAATTTCTTAATTTTAAACCAAGTGTTTTATAAACTTCAGTGCAAAACAGATTTATAATAATTGTTTTGGACATTTTTATTGGACAGGGACAGTAGAGCACAGACAGGAAACCATTAATGACACACAGGAAATGGTCCAGGGCAGAGTCAAAGCCAGGACCCCACTCGGCACTTGGGTCACCCAACCAACCGAGTGAGCTGTAAAGCAGCGCCCCAGTTATAAGCTCAGACTGAAGTTGTAAAAAGGGCTGTGTAAATGTATTTCTGCTAATCAAGCTGAAAGGCTTGATTAGTCTTGGGTAATGTTTGACCTGTTTGTGCACTAACACACAGTTTCCTCTGTATTGTAACAGTGTGCCT